TCTCTAGCCCTAAGCGGCCGCTGGCCCTCAAGACAATTCTAATAATTTTCTTTTAACAGGGTTTTTGATTTTGTTCTCCGCTTTTTGGAAACTGAATCATATGTGACCCAAAAACTCCATAAGCGAGCCTGACTGAAGGAATTGGGGGTGAGGTGCAAGGCCGGGGATTTCGCGGGTGAAGGATTGGAAGGTTAGGCTTGAGGTCAGGGCTGAGGAATTCCAGGTTCATTGGGCCTTCAGCCCTGTGTTCTTCTGACGTTTGTTCCGCACTGATTCAATGTTTGATTTATTGCGAGAGCAACAACCTGGGCTATTTAACGGTTACGGAAATTATGGCTCACTTCCATGTCTCAGGCAACTGTCAAGAGCAACACCCAATACTCCGAGGGACAATGAAGCCAAGACGCTAGAGATCTTGTCTGACCCTGCAGAGCAGCGTTGCGACATCGCTGCACAAACGTGGCATCCAACGCCCCACGGACCGGGGTAGTGCCTTGGCCGTGGCCCTAACCACTGGATCAAGGTCTTTCTGCCTTGCACATTGGCCACCACACTGCCAGGCCTGAGGAGTCAAAATAAGAAAGCAACTTACTGAAAACCGCAAGTTCGTCTACTACATAAAACATTGACCACTCAGGACACTTACTACCAATCAGTCACCCTCGCTTGATTAAACGTTGACTCAGAACACTGACCAATCAGGCATAGTGACCCTTGCTTGCAACGCCACGCTGGGCCAAGCTGCTTGAAGCGACACCGAACACAATCTTCTTCTGGGGTGGGGTGACAGCGGTCGTGCTCCCGGTCACTCCACAACAAGCACTCCTCTGACTGCTTAGCCTTCCACCACAGGAGACGTTTGGCCCTTTCAGATTTGGGTGTCATTTGTCGCGCCGCTGCAGAGGCCTTGGGGTTTGTCCTGCTCTTGGCCCTGGATTGCCCCACTTTCGCCAGCTTAGGCTTCTTGCCTCTTGCAGGCTTAGTTGAAGCCAGTGACCCTTGCTGACTAGGCTTTCTCTTCCTGTCAGCAGCAGTATCACCCTCAGCAAACTGAGCTTGCAGCCATGAGCGCTTTGTGCGCAGAAGAGACATGGTTTTTTAGTGACTTAATTGATTCATTAGGACATTTACATTAGCACCAAGCCCTTGTACCTAAGGCCTTAGACTGACTGGTCTGATTCTTCTTGTAACTGTATGATGATATAATAACGATACGATAATTCTCAAATACCCACAAAAACTCAACATCATCTTGATTTCTGAGGACTTGAACCTGTCACATGTTGAAAGGCGCTCCTCACTCTGACAATGGCCCATCGCAAACACTGACCCTTGGCGAGCCTGCTCCAGTTGCGACAATGATGACCCTTTCTGGATGGCCTCGCGCAAACAAATTCAACAATCGAAGCTGCCAGCTGGCAGGATGGGCTTTTGGGATTAGCTGTTGGGAACAGGACTGAAACTGCTGCACACACACACACACACACACACACACACACACACACACGCACAATCAAACACTGCACTCCACATCTCAGAGCTACGCCTGGTCACCCTTCTGGACGAACAATTCCAAGGAACCGGCGGCCAGTGCCCGAGCGACCCAGTGACATCAGAGCCTGAAGTCACTGGCTCGCTCAGGCACTGGCTGGTTCCTGGGCTGACTGGCCCGGGTTTTGCCCCGGATTTTGACCTTGCACGGGGATCACACTATTCCAACTAGACTAGACTTAGAATCTGAAAGACGATGTGCCTTGGCCAACTGTGAGAGGGAAGGAGTTTCAGCGCAGCGAGGCTCCAAGTGATCCGACTACCCCCGATCCGACATGGATCGGGAGTCCTCGGATCACTTGGAGCATGCGGACCTGAACCTGTCGAACGCCAAAGTTCAACTTGCACCACGCAGACATCCTCAAGCTGTCACTGCTCTGAAGTTTGGCAGGCCTCTTTGCCGTTGTGTCAGTGACCCTCGTCTGGATGGCCTCGCCAATAACGGAACTCGATGATTGAAAACCCTGCGTGCTGGAAGGATTGAAGATAGGCATTTTTTCAACGTCTGTTGATTGAAACAAGAATGAACACTGGTCAGAAAAAAAAAGTTTGCTTGATTCACACAGTACGCTCAACATCTCCGAGCTGCGCCTGGGCATACGTCTGGTCCAAGGAACCGGCCACTGCCCAAGTGACCCCATGACGTCGGAGCCACATGGATCGGAAGTCACAGGGTCACTCAGGCACTGGCCGGTTCCTGGGCTGGCCCCGGTTTTGCCCCGGATTTTGACCTTGCACGGGGATCACACTTATCCCAGACTAGACTCAAAAACGATGTGCCTTGGCCAACTGCGAGGGGAAGGAGGTTCAGCGCAGCGAGGCTCCAAGTGATCCGACTACCCCCGATCCGACATGGATCGGGAGTCCTCGGATCACTTGGAGCACGAGGACCTGAACCTGTCAAATGCCAATTTGAAAGCTTAAATTGCACCACGCAGACACCCTCAAGCCGTCACTGCTCTGAAGTTTGGCAGGCCTCTTTGAAGTTGTGTCCGTGACCCTCGTCTGGATGGCCTCGCCAGAAACCGAACTCGATGATTGAAAACACTGCGTGCTGGAAGGTAGGTATCCTGTCTCAACGTCTGTTGAATCTGAAGTAAGATAGAAAATATGACCCTACTATTATCACTAAATTGTAATGCTTCAATCACTGCACTCAACATCTCCGAGCTGTGCCTGGGCATAATGCTTCCTGGAACGGCCCTCGGCTGACTGGCCCGGGCTCTGCCCCGGGTTTTGACCTTGTACGGAGAACACGCCATCCCAGAAAAGACTATAATCTGAAATATGAAAGACGATGCGCCTTGGCCAACTGTGAGAGGGAAGGAGGTTCAGCGCAGCGAGGCTCCAAGTGATCCGACTACCCCCGATCCGACATGGATCGGGAGTCCTCGGATCACTTGGAGCACGCGGACCTGAACCTGTCGAACGCCAAAGTTCAACTTGCACCACGCAGACACCCTCAAGCTGTCACTGCTCTGAAGTTTGGCAGGCCTCTTCGCAGTTGTCTCGGTGACCCTCGTCCGGATGGCCTCACAGCCTCACAGAAACGGACTCAATGATTGAACAACCTGCCTGCTGGAAGGATAGATATTGCTTAAAAGTCGGTTGGAACAAGACACGGAAAATGATACTGACAAAGTAGACACCAAACACTGCGCTCAACATCTGAGACCTGTGCCTGCTCGATTCCTCCGCGTTTCGAACCTGGCAGCAGCGATGGGAATACACAACTACCACAGTCACTGTAGTCGGTGAGCAGCTTGCGCAGCGATGTTTCAACGACATGCGTCGAGTGCCCCACACTGCACGCATTGACCCCAGACGTGCCTTTGACACGCGCGTGAAACGGAGCACCGCCACTTGTGACTTTTTAACTCTAGACCTAGAACGGAGCTCTTGTTGTTTGAACTTAAGGAGCCAAGGGTCGAGACGGCTGCTCTATTTCAAGGTCTCATGTCCCAGGAATGAAATCATGGACTGACAGAGGCTGGGGCGTACCGCACTATACCGATACTCCCCCTCTTCTGAAGGTAAGGGATCGGGATGGGAAGTGAAACGACATCTTGCAAGGCGTACCCATACGTCTTTTTGTATGGGAGGTGCCCTGTTTGTACAAGGTGTTCATTGGCCCTGGCCTTGAAGGTGTCGATTGACTCAAAGAACTGAGGGAAGCCAAGCTGCGCCCGTCCATAAATTTTCCCTTGGCAGCCGAGGAAGAAGGGTCGATGCCTCGTCCTGCATGTCAAGCGAAAGCCACGGATCTCCATGACCTTTTCACCCTGTAAGATCTTACGCAGCCAAAAAGGCTGCAAAATCAAAATTCGCTCGCCGTGGTCGGGCATGACCCTCTGCACAGGAACCACCGATCCAGAAAGAGCTGCTGCAGCAGGAGCTTGTTCTGCGCGCTGAAACTTGCCTGACCCTGTGGTTGGCGAGGCGCGGTTGTCTTTGGCTCTGGGACTGTCACGGGTAGCCAGCTTTCTCCTTAGTAGCTGAGAGCACTGCGACTGCAGCAGGCGCATGACTCAGAGTTACATTATTCAATGATTCACTGATGGTAGTCAGGGTGCTTTTTGGTCTCTGCTTCTGACACACTGTTGCCACCCTGACCTTGGTCAACATCCACGAGGTTGACGATGTGAGAGAGCTTTGCCCTCTGCGACGCGCTGCCCGGACCCTGAGCATCGCGAAGACCAAGCGTCTGAAGAAACTTCTGTGAGTTTGCCATGGCAGCAGACGAAGCACAGCGTGTGCTTTAACACCCAGCGCCCGCATTTCAACACCCTTGGTTTACTGCAGGCCGAGATTTTGCGCAGGCATCCAAAGCCCATGGCCCTGCCCCATTGTTGCACATGCAAAACACGACTCATGGCAAACCTTTCTTATTGAGACTTAGAGAAGAACCACAGTTCAGAAGCGCACTGAAACCTGTTCACGTACTTCTGAACCTAAGACTGTGGAAGCCTCGAGCGGGGTTGAAGACGTACTTGATGTTCTGGACCTGGACTTCGTACCTGGCAGGAAAAACTCACCAACTGGTTGGGCCGGCTGGGCATACTCAGCTCCAAGGCTGCAGAATGCAGAGACATGTTGACGCTGCTCCTGTTGGTTGTGGCAAACAATCAGTGAGACTGAGACGTGTGTCAGATGGTTCTGACCCTGGCGCAGCTACTGCCTAATCAAAACGGCTGTCAGTGAGGAAGAACCTGCGTGGACATGACTCTGGTTTTCAAACAGGTGACCCGGCACAAAGGTGCACCCCAGACCGACGATTGGCTTAAATTCACGGTTCAAAATCAGCTCTTCACAACACTGATAACCTGTCGCTGCACGCTCCTGTCCTGGAAGCTGACCCTCACTAGTCGGCTGCCTCATCGTCCGAGTCAACAGGTGGCAGGTCTTGATTGACTGACGTCCTTGCTTCCAGTTGCAGGACAGCACCCTTTTCAACCTGAGAACAGTCTAGGTCTATTATCATTAACATAAATAAAATTGATGACGGCTGTCCAGGCTAGTGTCTCAAGCTCGTCTGCATACAGGTCTTTGATTGCCGTGGCAAGTTCTTGGGTGAACATGGCATGCTGGTTCTTGACAATGTGCTCCAATGACCCTAGGTCCAAAATGTTCGACATCCAGGTTGCCTGCTTTGACCCAGACGCCAGTCCTCAGGAAAACATCAGCAAGGCTTGCCACAAACTGTACAAGCGCAACAACTGCAATTTGAAGAACATTTCAATAAGTTAAATTGCCTTCAAGCTTCCTAAGTATGGGAGACCCATTGACATGGCCGCTAGGCCCAGTTGAGTCGTGACCCTGAGGTCAATCACCACCGACGCCTTGTAGCTCTTCAGGAACTTCTCCCAAAATCCCTGACCCTTGGTTTCTCCCCAGAACCACGGCACAGCCTGGTCTTCAGAGAATGACGCTGGCGCCATGGTGGCATCCTGACCCAGGCCAAGCGCATCCTTCTTGGACGCCTGCGACACCCTCGGAAGACATGTCACCTTGGACACGTCTGTGTAGCAGGTCTGGAAGTCACCCTCCTGACCCTTGGAGATTTTGGAGCGGTTGCCACACCCGAAGCGCATGTGGAAGGTCTCGTGGTGCTGATCCTGGAAAGCAACTGTTCTGGTTCTCACCTCTGAACCTTGGTCCTTCGTCTTGTTCTTCTCCTTGGGCGCGAAGACAAGGATCCCCTCACTCATGTCCTTGGCACTGATGGCAGTCAGGCTGTCCAGTGAGCGGCGCTTGTCTTTGCTGCAGCCATCAAAAATGACCCCAATCTCAAAGCTTTTTGCAAGCTGTCCCAGGTACTGGAGGCACCCGTTGAGACCCTTCCTGTGTAAGTGTAAATGCATATTCAAAAACATGACTAAAAGAAGCGGGTTTCACAAAGGTCTGCTCTGAACGCTAACCCAGTTGCATGGTCTTCTCGCTCAGCCCAGCCAGCTGCGATGTTCTCTGCCAAGGTTTCATCACTGCCTCCTCCACACAGTCCAAGCTCAGCACAACAATCTCATGAGCCTCATTCAGTTTGACCCTGGGTTTGGTCATCTCTTTGAACCTCACAACTGCAGCCGTGATCTCCTCCAGAGAATTGGCAACCACAACATTGGCGTACTTCTTTCTGGTGGCCTGCGCCCGCCGCCAGACATCCTTGCGCTCCTCAGCCTGCAGCTGTGGCAGATCAGGGTCACTAATTGACCGCGCCAACGCCCTGAGGCTCATGGTTGGGACCCTGGCTTCGGTGCACGTTGACCTCACTTGGAATGTTAAAGGCCAACGCAGGATGAACACTGTTCTGTATAAATACAACTTGATGAACGACAAAACCTGTGATTGAAATTTGGCCTGAGCACGAAACAGCGCGAGCTGTCTCCAACAACGCTTCGAAGGCTCGCAGATGTGTGTTCAGGCTCTGCAGCTGGGGCTCCTTTTTGACCCTTTCACCGTCATTCAGGACTTCCTCAAGCTTTGAATCCGAGGCGACAAGCACCAAGCCCTTGTCATAGTCACCTGAATTGACCCCGTGCGCCAGCTGGGCCAACTTCTTGCTGCTGGCATGCTGCAGCTTTGCAAGAAAACCATCCAAGGCGGAGCCCTGTGTGTTGCTCTGCTCCGTCGACCCTCCTGACGCTGTTCCTATTGGCCCTGCCTCCGTTTCCTCATGCGTCTCTGTTGCATGCTCGCTGGGAAAAGTGTTGTTCCACCTCTCCGGCTCCAAGAAAATGTCAGTCATGACCGTCTGCATCTCCGTCTTGGCCTTTGAATCCTCCATGACCGACACCAAACTGTTCAAATACTGAAGCACCCGCTGCCTTGTCAGCAGCAAGGACACAAACCCAGGCTTGGAAAGTGGGTCCAGCGCTGCGACCGTCAAAAAGTTTGCATCAATTGATCCTCTCAAGAGCTCCACAAAGATGAAGCTGATGACATACGTCACTGCATCAGTTGCGACGAAAGTAGTCTTTCCAGCCACTGTGGCCTGACCCTGGACAGCTTTGAGCAACCTCAGAAGCTTTGTGTAATCCTTTGTCAATGGGCGGCTGTTGTACAGTCTGTCCATGGCCCTGAGAACCTCAATGGCTTCGTCGCACAGCATCTGGCTCTGAAGCCCAAGTGTGTGCGCATGGTTCTTGTTCAGGGGCTGACCCAGGTAGTTCAGGCCCAACTTGTTCAAGCTCGAAGCACATTTATCCGACCCTGACAACCTCACATTGTGTAGCACTGCGAAGTCCTGCGCCCTCAGTGACCATGTCAGCCACGAGTCCTCACAGAGGTTGCCCAGGGATTTCATGTGGTTATTGACCCCGTTGATCTCCAGGAGCATTGTTGAGGAGTCCATGCCCAAAAACAACCTCACTGTGGTGCTGAGAGAGAAGATCATCAACTCCTTCACCCTGTCGTTGTCGTTGATCCGGAGCGCATTGGCCAGCGCAACATAAAAGGCAAAGAACGCCTTCTGCCCTGAAACTAAGTTGACATGATGCGGCAGGTCCTTTGGGATCACGTCGCCCACATTTGCTGCGAAAGCCAGTTCAAGCAAGATGTGACCCGTGTGCTTGTTGGGCCTGAAGACCTTGGCTGGTTTCAGGCTTCAGCAATGAAGACAAACTGACAACATGCCAAGTTCAAAGCAGCTCAGGTGTGCTTATTAACTTCTTCATAACATCAACAAAGGCACGCTGTTGCCCACATCGACATAGGTTTTCCAGCTCTCATCAAACTCATCCGTGGGCTGGGCAGACAAGATCCAAATGCTTGACCCTGCCTCATAAACCTTTTGCGTTTTCAGCGCCAGCTCCATGTTCCTTGCATTCATGATCTCCTTGATACCAGACGTTACGTGGCCAGACGGTGCTGCCACCTTGAGCGGCGGTATGTCCTCGATGCGGGTGGCTGACCCTGCCTCAGTGGGCATGTGATCTTTCATCCATTCCAGCGCAGCTGCGCGGGTCTGCGGGATCATCTTGCGCAAGATGGGAAGGATGGAGTCCGTGTCAGAAGGGGGTGGCTGCCAGGAGCCCTCCCCTGACAAAACTGATGACCCAGGCTTGTGCGGGCCAAGCGGCGGCACTGGCACTGGGACAGCCTCAGGCGGGGTCTTCACTCTGGCCCTCTTTGCGGGGGGGGCAGATGGTGACTCCTCCACGTCTTCCATGAGCAGCACCGATGTCTGAGGTCTGACTCTTGACTGTTTCAAAGCAAAGCTGCGGCAGAACAACCGTAACAGTACATCATGTCCAAAACCATTGACAAGACACAGCAGGCAGTGAACAGCACAGCTGAAAAGCGTCAAGACATGATGGGTTGCCTGCCACCAGACGAGCACCTGGCAGCAAGAACACGCGCTAGTGCCTTGACCCAGTCACACAAACACCCAGTTGCAACAGACAGGCACAAAGCTTTGTTTTCCATTGCGTATGTGCGACCCTTCCCTAAGTCCACCCTGGCAGGTGTTCACGACAAAGAGATCACTGAATTACTGTTGAAACAGGTCTCTAAGCCGCGAGGTCTTTCCACTCCCCTGCGTCAAGGCGGCGGTTTGCGGCTGTGACTTCTTCGGCTTCTTGGTCTTGGCCCTGCATATGACGGACGCTGTGGACTTCACCTTCTTGGGTTTGCGGTTCTGCTTGGCCCTGGAACCGGTCTTTCCAGTGCCATGCTTTGCCAGCTTCTTCCAGGTGATAACCTGGGGCTGCGCCTGGCCCTGATAACTCTTGCCAGGAAGCTGCGGCGGAGGACCCTCACAAGCCACACAGGACATAGCTAGCAGCATAGCCAGCGCCACACAATCCACATGCATGGCGTTGCCGGCTAAGTCGTGCAGGGCATTGTGACCCTGGCTGACGGTGCACTGCTGAACTGGTATGCCAAGACAGCACAGCTTGTCCTTTCCAGATAGAAGCTGCGCGTGACCCTTGGACACAGCCACCAATTTGCTTGACGTTGTGAAGGTGGGCAACATATTGACCCCAAGAGGGATACGGGTGGCACTCTGTGATACATCCACCACAACTGTCTCAGTTGACTGTGATCTGAGCTGCAAGGCAATGTCCAGCACATCCTGCTCCCGTTCTGTGAGGGCCAGCTCAGAGTAGGCTGACCCTTCTGGCGCAGACATGTGGTGCTTCTCACGGATTTGCGCATGAAGCTTCCGCCACTTCTGGGAGAGGTTGCTTGACGAGGGGCGCTTCCGTTTGGACTCCGGTTTCTCACCCTCAATCGTCAGTGGAAATGGCTTTGCTGGAACCTTTCCAACACTGTCCCTGAGACAAGCCATCATGCTCAGCACCAAATCCACCAGCTGACCCTGAGCAATGGCCCTGTCCTTGCGGACAAGCAGGAAATAGTACCTTGGCCGGCGCATTGGTAACCTGAATGTCCGTGCTGGGCACACTGGAAGGATGATGACCCTATACTTCTCAAGAAGGCCACGGCCCCTGAACTTGCGGAACAGAGTGGGGAAATATTTGCCAATGTTGATCACATTCTCATACACTGCCCACAAGGGGTTCAGCTTCAGGGTTTCATCTATGACCCTGTCCACCAGCCTTGAGGCTGCATGCTTCCAGCCCTTTTTTCTGCTGGAATTTTGCCTTGAAAATGGCTGGCATGGAAACCCGACTACGTATCCAGTTGGCTTGGCCCTGTCCCCCACAGTGTACATGTCTTCGTAGACGGTGTTTGGCTTTGTGTTGGCCCTGATCCATTCTCTTGACGCAGCACTGATGTCACAAGCGAACCTTCACTGACAGGCTTGGTGGACTGACAAGCAATGAGAGTTGACCCTTGTGGAAGTCTGCTGTCAGCTTAGAACTTATAATTTAAAGAAGACAAGAGGAAACAAATGCATTTTTGCTCAAGAAGCAAGTGCTGGTGATGTATCTGCATCTTGCGCAGACCAAATATGCAGCAGTCCAAGCCGCTGCAGTCCGTTCCAACGGTCTGCTTCACAGCTGTGACCCTATCAGCCAGAAGACCAGCCTTCTGCAGCCACCTGGCCCTCTCTTGCAGCAGCGCATCTCTCATGTGAACATCCATTGCTGCCACACAGCGTCTGCTGCTTCATCAATCATGGCTGCGACACAGGCATGTAAAGCAAACCTTCGCCAAAATGCAAGTGCGCTGTGATAACAGTAACAGGAGCAGGCAGGCCTTCTGCAGCGTTGGACCCTGGAGAAGAGCTGGGAAGGCCGAGGTTGACCCTCAGGCAAACTGGCAGAGGTCCAGCCAAGCACCACTCAAAAGGCACTTCAACGGCTGAGGCTGGGGTTTGGACCCTTGCCGCAGCCCCCGCAAGGTTGCCCAAAGCTGGCCGCCTCAATTCCCGAGTTTGAAACACGACGACGTTCCCAAACGACCCCCAGGCTAACGTTAGCCTGGGGTCGTTTGGTAAGGTGGATTCACCGCCCCATTACACTCAAGAGGTGGGAGCAAATGGAAGTGTAATGTTCACATGAATTCACCTTACCAAACGACCCCAGGCTAACGTTAGCCTGGGGGTCGTTTGGATATGTGGATTCACATGTTGATTACACAGTGGGCCCTTTGAGATAGTTGAGAAAGAAAGAGATAGGGGAGATAAAAAAAGATAAAACGGAGATAGGCTAAGTCCATTTTAAGGTTTTATATCTTTTTTTGTTTTTTTCTATCTTTGTTTATTTTCTTTTATTTTTTGCTATCTGTTTTTGAAGCAAAATGGCGAGAATTCCACACTAGCTCAGATGTAGATTCTTTGTAGAAAAATCACCCACGTCCAGCTGGAAAGGCCTCTACTCGTTTCACGTTTGGGCTGCTGGCACAGGAGAAGGGAGACAGGAAGCCCTATGTGGCTTTGTGAGTTTTTTGGGGGCCCAGGTTTAAGCAGGGCACACGGGTTGCACACCCGCCAAACATGCCCCGAAACATACCCCCGATACATGCCCCGTAACATACGCCCGAAATTGAAGGTAAAGTAGCTCATGATGCCACGAGACATACCCGAAGCATACCCCCGAAACATACCCCGATACCCCAAAACATACCCGCGAAACATACCCTGATCCCAACAACTGTCGCCCGCCATTATATGGGTTTGTTCGATAAGGGTGGGGGGGGGGGGCGGGTTGAGGGAGGGCCTGTGAGTGGAGGAAAGACTTGCCGCAAGCTGTCCTCGAAGTGGGCGCTGGCTGTGGCCATGCTGAGAGCAAAGACGGTGGAAGTCCGTGAGGCGCGGGCAAGCAAAGATGGCTTCGGCTTGAGCTGCAGGCTACGACATGCATTTTTGAGGCTACGGAGCCCGTAGTGTGAGGGAGGCCAGCCCGCTACCTGCACTATTTGTGGGACATCTCAGGGCGGTAGTGTGCGGTAGTGTGCAGTAGTGCCTGGGCTTGGGCTGCAGGGCTTAAGGGTGGTAGTGCTTGAGGCCCTCTGCGAAGCTTACGGGCTCCAGGGCGGTAGTGGCCGGCAGTGTGCGGTAGTGCCTGCCTGGGGCCTGACTGGGGGAGCCTCAGCAAGGGACCTTTCCGGATTGGCTTGTGGGGCGGGAAGGGGAGCTGAGCAAGGGGTCTTGCCGGACTTGCTTCTGGCGCGGAAGGGGGGCCTAAGCAAGGGATCTTTCCGGACTTGCTTCTGGGCCCAAGCAAGGGATCTTGCCGGACTTGCTTCTGGGGCCGGAGTGGGGGCCCATAAGCAAGGGATCTTTCCGGACTTGCTTCTGGGGCCGAAGGACGAGCCTAAGCAAGGGATCTTTCCGGGCTTGCTTTTGGGGCCGGAGGGGGCCGAAGCAACGGATCTACTTTCCGGACTTGCTTCTGGGCCCGGAGGGGGGGCCTAAGCAAGGGATCTTGCCGGACTTGCTTCTGGCGCCGAAGGCGGTCCTAAGCAAGGGATCTTTCCAGACTTGCTTCTGGGCGAAGAGGGGGAGCCTAAGCAAGGGATCTTGCCGGACTTGCTTCTGGGGCCGGGGGGCGGGCCTGAGCAAGGGCTCTTTCCGGACTTGCTTCTGGGGCAGAAGGGTGGGCCTAAGCAAGGGATCTTTCCGGGTTTGCTTCATGTTAGCTGTACACACCGTACATTCTTTGATGCCCTAAACTAAACATGCAATATGACCATTTTATCCCAAAATCGACTCAAACTATCTTTTTTTATCTTTTTTTATTTTTTTATCTTTTTTTATCTTTTTTTATCTCCCGGCGACCGGTGCCGCTTTGCCGCACTTTGCCGCACCTATCTTTTCTAAGTCTGTTCTATCTCGTTTATCTTTCCCTATCATTCCATGAAGATGGTATCTCAAGATAAAGATAGAAACGACTTAGACCCTCCCTAAGTGACTTGTAACTCACTTAAAACCAACTCCCTATCTCAACTATCTCACCTATCTCCAAAGGGCCCACTGTGTACACTTTCAGGGCTCGCAAGACTGGTTAAAGCAACAACACTGATTCTTTGCCTCTGTTTCTCGCCAGGCAGTGTGGCTCGGCAGTGGTTGACCTTGGCGAGGCTGGAGTGTGAAAAAAAAAACAAGCGCTCCCAATTCCATCTGATCTAGCTATGAGACACAGAAAAAGCAGCAAGGAACCACATCATTAATGCGCAAAACAACGCTCCCAACAGCAGCCCCTTATCATGGAAGCGGAAGCTCTTTTCTTGGTGGAGGCTGCGACTCCAAAGCAATGGCTCGAACTGATGTGCCAGGAGCCAGCAAGATGACCCCAAGAAAACGGACACACAATGCCAAGGCAGCTGCCAGAGGATCCAGTTTAAGATGAAAGAATGTTTTATTGCCATCTTGGCTACACCGCCTCTCAACAGAAAGACACGCCATGAGTGTCATGCTATACTGAATCTGGAAAAGAAGGTGACCTTGGCAGAGCCATTGAAATTAAGCTTGGCTCCGCAGCCGAACCCCTCAGAACACCAAATTTCAAATGGACTTGATGGAAGTCTTAGGCTTGCACACATGCTTCTGAGGCTTGGCCGCTTGCCAACCTGGTCCAAATTTCATTCTTGAGGCTCGGTCTGACCCTGTGACATTCAGGCCAAGTCTTCTCCTCCCTGGGATGAGTCAGAGGAGGTCGAAATCTGGGCCGGGATCACCTCTTTGATCTGGGCAGGGATCACCTCTTTGTTGTCAACGGACAAAGACATGCCCAAGCGAGGGCGCTTTGCAATTTGACC